AGGAAGATGAGGGGAAGAAACATGCTAAGAACTTAAAGGCTGAAAGTTTGTATTTATTGTGTTTAATAGAGAGATGTTCACTGCCTGCTTTATGTTTCTGCAGCAACTGCCTGAGTATATTAGTGACCAATGGGCATGCAAGGTCAGGAACAGAATCACAGAACCATAGAATGGTTTGGGTTGGAAAGGACCTTAAGATCATATAGTTCCAACCCTCCATGTCACAGGCAGGGACCTATTTCTGCAGTATTTATTCAAACAAAAGTCCTGCTTATATGCAGCCTGAAGAATCAAAGCACATAAAGACATATTTTTGTCTATGCTTTTTTTGGAATGTCTTTGAGACTGAAAATACGTAGCTGAAGAGCTCTGTGAATGTGTCATACCTGTCTAGTGAGATTCGTGATGTAGTGTTAGTTTTGTTGAAATTCCTCAGCAAAAGACAAAATTAAAAAAACCCACACTTGAAGAGGGATGGCTTTGAAGTGGTTTTTGTGGGTTTTTTTGGGGTTTGTTTTTTTTTTTTTTTCTGGTATAAAGTTGGCTTTTTCTTCAAAAGGGCCGGCCACATAGTCATCATCTCTACTTGTTTGTTTTAGGCAATAGGTTTAAGGGCAGTAGAGGTTAAAAAAGAGAAAATCCCATCTGGCAGTCATTTGTTCTCTTAGTTGGGTTCCCATTTAAGCAAAAGACAAATTAATCCTGTCACTAACTTCCTTTCTTTTCTGTGATTGTGTTCTGCCTTGGGTTATGAATGTAGATTCTGTAAAGTTTGCAAATGACACTGTGTTTGGGTTAGTTTCACACACACACCCCCTCACACCCCCCCAATTATTATTCAATTTTGCTGTGTTTTGGGAGTAGAGAGCTTTTATTTCCAATGCAAGTCTTAATACATGCTTGGAAAGATGTAAAATTGTAAATGTGTGTCATAAGGAGCAGATCTTAGCCGGGAAAATGTCTAGAAGCACAGCCATGTGTATACATTTCTGTATCTCCACAGCTCTTGCTGAGATATGGCTGTCTTTTGGCTTTTGTTGGGAAGTCAGTTTCCAACCAGTGAAGTCGTCATTTGGGTAACATATGGCAGTTTAGGTCTCCCCCTGCATCTCAGACTATTGTTTTGATGCATAATAGCATGTATTGAATAATATGTACTCTGGCCATGGTAGTAGTTACCTGCCCTGATTAGAAATAAACAGGTGGATGGACAAGTCAGTCATCTGTACCATAAACATGGGTTTATCATATTAAGGTAATGTTATTTGAATAGATTGCCTATTAGCCTGGCTGTAACACTGTTAGATAAAATTAATTCATGTCACTAATGCCTATTCTCCAGTGTATAGCACAATGTCATCCAAAAGCTTCAGCCAATTAATTTCACTAATGATGTCTGAAAATGTAGATGACTTGTTCCTGGTTTTTTCTGTTGTTTTCTGGTTTTGGTCACTAGTCAAGGCTAGTAGGGGACCTAAATTCAAAGGATTTCAAAGACTAGTTTGGTTTTGATCTTCCCTGAGGTGAATGAGGTTTTGTGGTGCTTTTGGAGCATCTCAGATGTGTTATCCTTCCAGCAGAGCCATTCATATGGCACAGATAGGCTCTGAGAAGAAGGTATGTTTCACTTAGCAAAGAACAGCTCCTCACATTAGACCTTTGCTTTGGTGCACAAGTTTTGTGGTAGCTTTGACAGAAAGCAAACATGTCTCTTAACTCCTTTTCCGTCTTGACAGATTTAGTCCCATGGACCCCCAGCTCAGGACATAGGTTACTTGAGGAGAGCCACTGCTTTTAGATTTTCTTTTTCCATCTCCATGGAGATAGAGCTCTCCAAGCTTGTTGGCTTTACTGAGTCACCTCAAATTCCCATGACCCAGACTGAAAGGACTTCGGTAAATAAAAGTTTGATTGACAAGTCTTGTGGTCAGGCTTATAGTTACAAGCAAAACCAATACGAAGCTATAGGACTGTTGCCACAGTCACGGGTTCAGCTACTTAGACCATGGTACTTGCTTTGAGAAACCTGGTCTACTGGGGTCCATCTGTCAGAGAAGGGGAAGAGCATCTTTGGTCATAGGCTTGCTTCAATCCATCCCACTCCTACCAGTTTGGTGCCATAGCCAGCAAGAGATGTCCAGAGCCTGGAGGGGGATTGCAGGTCAGCAGGAGAGCACCTGAAGAGCAGCATAAAGGAATTCCTGCCCCTCAGGCCAGTCAGTCAGGTTCATTGGGGGCCCAACTTAAATGCCTCTGTGCAAACACATGTAGTATGGGGAATTAACAAGAGGAGTTAGAGACACGCACACATCTGCAGGGCTATTATCTTATTGCCATCATGGAGACATGGTGGGAATACTCTTATGACTGGAGTGTTGGAATGGAGGGATACAGGCTCTTGAGGAAGGACAGATGGGTAAGACAAGGAGGGGGTGTCACCCTCTATGTCAGTGACCAGCTGGAGTGCATGGTGCTCTGCCTGGGGATGGATGAGGAGCTGACCAAGAGCTTATGGGTCAGGATTAAAGGGAGGACAGGGACAAGTGATATTATAGTAGGGGTCTGCTACATGCTGCCTGACCAGGAGGACCGAGTGGATGAGGCCTTCTATAGACAGATAGGAGCAGCCTCATGTTCACAAGCTGTGGTCCTCATGAGTGACTTCAACCACCCTGGTATCTGTTGAAGGGCATAAGCAATCCAGCAGGTTCCTGGAATGTATTGATGATAACTTCTTCCTCCAAGTGATAGAGGAGCCAGTGAGGAGAGGTTGCTATGCTGGACCTTGTCCTCACCGACAAGGAGTGGCTGGTGGAGAATGTGAAGCTGGAGGGCAGTCTACCACAAAATGTTAGAATTCAGGATGTTTAGGGTGGTGAGGAGGGTGCGCAGCAAGCTTCCTGCCCTGGACATCAGGAGAGCAGACTTTGGCCTCTTGAGGTATCTGCTTGGTGGATTACTATGGGATAAAGCCCTGGGGGGAAGAGGGTCCTAAGCAAGCTAGTTTATATTCAAGGATCACCTCCTCCAACCTCAGGAGTGATGCATCCTGACAAAGAGTAAATTGGACAGGAACACTAGAAGGCTTGCATGGATGATCAGGGAGCTCCTGAACAAACTCCAGCATAAAAAGGAGACCTACAGAGCATGAAAGCAGGGACAAGTAGCATGGGAGGAGTACAGAGAAATTGTCTGAGCAGCCAGGGATACTTTAGGAAGAATAAAGCCCTGATAGAATGACATCCAGGGACATCAAGGGCAACAAGTAAAGCTTCTGTTGATACATTGGTGATAAAAGAAAGATTAGGGAAAAGGTGGGCTCTCTCCAGAAGGAAATGGGAGACCTGGTTACCTGAAAGATGGAGAAGGCTGAGGTACTCAATGACTTTTTTGCGTCAATCATCACTGGCAAGCGCTTCAGCCACACTGCCGTAGTCACAGAAAGTGAAGGCAGGGATTGGGAGAATGAAGAACTGGCACTATAAGATCATGTTCCAGATCATCTAAGGAACCGTAAGGTGTGCAAGTCAGTGCGACCTGATGAGATGCATTTGTGGGTCCTGAGGGAACTGGCGGACAAAGTGGCTAAGCCACTGTCCATCATATTTGAGAAGTCGTGGCAGTCTAGTGAAGTTCCCACTGACTGGAAAAGGGGAAACATAATCCCCATTTTTAAAGGGAAAATGGAATACCCAGGGAACCACAGGCCAGTCAGTCTCACCTCTGTGCCTGGCAAGATCATGGAGCAGGTTCTCCTGGAAACTATGCCAAGGCACATGGAAAATAAGGAGGCGATTGATGACAGCCAGCATGGCTTCACTAAGGGCAAATCCTACCCAACAATTTTGGTGGCCTTCTATGATGGGGCTACAGCATTGGTGGATAAGGGAACAGCAACTGATGTTATCTACCTGGACTCATGCAAAGCATTTGGCACTGTCCTATGCAGCATCCTTGTCTCTAAACAAGGAAGATCCCTTCCAACCCATTCCATTCTGTGATTCTGTGAAAGCCTACTTCTTGCCTGTGCTTGATAATGGGATAAGCAAATAGGAAAGTGAAAGCTATATGATAGTCGCTAGGAAACTGCTGAGAAGCCACATGCCAGCTTCTAAGTACACGTGTGTTTTAAACAGCTCTCACTGTGCTCCCAATCCTTTTCTCTTTTCTTACAGTTAGGTTTTTGGAACAAATCTGTGTGTAAATTCAGAGTGTTTTTGAGGTATTTAACAATCATTTCCCTGTTTCCTCTCTTCCCCTTTGCCCTTCCCCTCCCCAATCTACTTCATCAGTTCATCAATTGAAGGATATGCAGATAGTTATGCTATTAATAACTATCCTTGGCTCTGCACACTTTGCCAGCCACTCACCTTACCTTTGGTCTGGGCATGGATGTTCTTCATCCAGTCTGAGCTATTGGCTTTGCTCTGGATGATTGATACACCCCTGCCAAATGTAGAGTGTCTCAGTTGTAGCAGGTCATATGATGGTTACTTCTGACAAGTTAACAGGATGATGCATAAGGTGTACATGTAACACAGCTGGCTGCAGGTGTCTTGTCCAAACTGCTCTCTGATCTAAAATTGTACAGTTTTTAGAGGAGCATGAGGACCTATATATGGTGAAATAGGCACGTTTCTTGCTCCTACAAGCTCATTCTGTTCTTCATGTAATTTTGTTGTACTTGTGTAAATCGCAAATGCTAATTTTACATGTCTTGATAATTTGTAGCATTGAATTTACAATTTTCAAATAAATGGAACTCCTTTTCCTTAGTATCACTGTGAAATCCCTGCAATATCCTTATTTTCCTTCTCTCCTCTGTCCCTGCCTTGCTGTACCAAGATGTGTGACTGTGGTTTACGTTCAGCATTTCAGCTTCATTACAGCCCTTTTTTTGCGATGCACTGGTTGAAGTGACTGATGCTTTTTAACATGTTACTAATTTGTGGCTTTGCATGTACTATGTACATTCATATGTTTCTTGTTCTTTATTCCAGAGATGGTGATGTTGCTGGAATGGTGGTCAGGCACCGATTGCACCCTCTACACTGACCCACAAAGTTACCCCAAGTATGGGAAGGAGAATGCCATCGTAATCCTTAATCACAACTTCGAAATTGATTTTCTCTGCGGTTGGAACTTTTGTGAAAGATTTGGGGTCTTGGGGGTGAGTTTTCTTTAGCATTTAAAATAAACTTCCTCCTCTTAAATGCAGGAGAAAAACCCACAACCAATTATTGTGTTTTTGAAAGGTAATGGATCTGTGCTCAAATTTCTCTGTCTGGAATTAGAGAGGTGAACCTAAAGCAGTGCAGTGCAGGTATGGAATACTGAGACAGGATTGCTTGAGCATTCGTGGAAATGTTAAAAGCATTCAGTAAAAGCTGATGGAGCTATTATTTTAACCTGAGGAGGTCATTACAGTTGTTTCTGTGTGCTTGCTAGATAACTATTATGGTTCATTGTGCTGCGGAAGGATGAGCTGTTCTGAGATTCTTTCTCAGTAAATTGTAGACTTTGTTTGCTTTCTCCAGTGTAGTCTTACAAACCCACAGCTAGAGATTGAATGATGTAGTCTCTGTCTCTCAGAATGAAAGAGCTGTCATCTCAAGTGAAAGCAGTAACCAGATTATAGCTAGTACAAGATGGGGGAGGAATGACTTAGCCGTGGTTAAATACACTGTTACATTAGGCTAGGAGCACGTGTGCATTTGTTTTCGGGGTGGTTTTTGTTTTCCCTGTCAGCTCATGGGGATGATTCAAGCATCCATCCTAAGACAGCTTGACTTAATTATTTGGTGGTGATGACATTCCCTGCCTACAAGGAATTTAGATAAGAGTTCCTCCTGCTAAGAAAGCAGGCTAATACCTCATTTTGGCATATATGCAGCATCCTCTTCCAACTTTGCTGCTGGCTGCTGTCAAGTCTTGACCTTGGACTGTGTGAACCTAAGACATCTTGTGGCCTTTCCTTTGGACTCTGCATTTTCTGGACATTTAGGCACCACTCCAGTCACTTTCAGATTATAATAATGACAGTCTGCTTAAGAAAAAATAAGAAAGAATCCTTAAAAATGCAGAAAAAATGAACCTAAACATTACAGGCACTGCGTATTGCCAAAATGGCTGTTGGCTCCTGATTTCTGAGCAACAAATCTACCATAATGTCTAGGACTTGATCACAGAGCTGGAAGATAGCATAAGGCAG